GGGAAGGAATTTTGGGAATTCAGGACTCCAGGAAGGGTCTCCCTTCCCTTTTCCATCCCTGAATTCCATAAAAATCCCTCGGGGATGGATCCTGAGTGTCCTGGATCCCAGAATCCCGGAATGGTTTGGGGTGGGATCCATGGATTTTCAATCCCATCCCATTCTAATCCCACATTCCCAGGATTTTCCAACCTTTCCTTGGATGCTTCCAGGGATTCTCTGGTAATTCCGTCCCAGCCAGGAATTCCTTCCCAATTTTCTCCCAAATCTGGATGGGTTTTTGGGATTTTGGAGGGGAATTTTTAGGGCTATGACGTTTTCATCGGGATTTGGGATTTTTTGGGAGGGGATTTGGAATTTCCACCCCAGCCGGCAATTCCTTCCCAAAATCCCATTTCCCCCTTTCCCAGGGAATTCCCTCCATTCCCACCTCTCCCAGTTTGGGCTCAGATCCACCCCCACCCCACCTCCTCTCCGGGACGGAGATTTTTCAATCCCATCCCATTCCGACCCCGCCATCCCAGGATTTTCCAACTTTTCCTCGCCCGAAGATTTCCCTCAGTCCCGACCTCCCCGTCCCGTTCCCGAGCCCGTACCTGATCCCGAGTACTGGAACAGGTTCTGCTGCATCCCGGCCGGGCCCACCCCGGCTCCGAACGGGGCTCCCATGGCGCCGCGGTTCCCGAGGGAGGCGCGGCCCTCGCCGGAGAAGCCGGGGGCGCTCCCGGCGCCGGCGCCGTACCCGGGGGGGGCGGGGAAGGGGAATTGTTGGGGAGGGGCTTGGGCCACCCGGGGCGCCGCCATGGCGACGCCGGCGGAATTCCCGAAATTCTGCTGCTGCTGCTGCTGCTGCTGCTGCTGCTGCTGCCGCATCAGGAGCGCGCGCTGCTGCATCAGCTGCCGCTGCCGGTGCTGCTGGCTGTAGAGCTCCCGCTGCCGCTGAGCCAGCATCTGAGCGTTCAGGGGGGGCTGGGGAGGGACAGAAATTACCAAAATCAACCCCAGAATAATCCTAAAATTATCCTTAAATTATCCCAAAATCATCCCAAAAACCGTCCCCAAAATCAGCAGCATCTGAGCGTTCAGGGGGGGCTGGGGAGGGACAGAAATTACCAAATT